CCCAGGCACGATGCTGCCCCCTCAAGGACTGCGACAGTTTCACATATCGCACCCCCCGGATGGCGAGGTCTAATCTGGATCTGCGTCTGGTGCCCACGATGCTGGCCACCCCAGCAGCCCTCGAACGTGGCGACAGTTTCGTAGATCGCAGGCTCTCAGAGATGGCGAGGAGGAGGAGGTAAAAGGCAAAAGAGGAGAGGAGGAAGGAAGAAAAAGACGAAGGGAGGAGGAGGAGGAGGAGGAGGAAAGAGAGGAGGAAGGGGGGCGGGAGGAGGACGCGACCACAGCGCTCAATTCAAAACGAGTGCCAAATGCAGGAGGGTTCGAAACAAAAAAAACATGTTCAGCACGCCATGCACCCCCTCTGATTAATCAATCGGGGGCGGCGGATCTGGTGGCCTTGGGCCCACTCCGCAATCGTACTTTGGTCGTTCGTCAGGGGCTTGTCTCTTTGATGCCTGTGGAGGCCCCTGGGGGCCCGATTTGAGTATTTTCTTCCCCGCCTGGAGCCGGCTGTCTCGGAGGTCGTCTTGGGGTGAAGGGCTCGGAATTTTGGTTCGTGTTTCCCCCCTGGGGCCTCTCGTGGGACCATCTTGGGCCGTCTTGGGGGCCTCATGGGCCGTCTTGGAGCTCTTTTTGGGCCGCCTGTGGTCCCTCTTGGGGTCATCTTGGGCCGTCTTGGGGCGATCGTGGTGGCCTCTTGGGCCGCGTTGGAGCGTCGAAAGCAAAAGCCGAGCGCGCTAAAATGCTCCAAAAACCAACAAGGGCTAACAGCGATTATAGGCTCTCAGCGCCGCTGTAGAAGTGCTATCGGAGCGCCCTTGGGCCGTCTCGGAGGCGTCTTGGAGCGTCTGTGGACCATCTTGGGCGTCTTGGCATGCTCTTTCGGCGACTCTGGGCCCCCCGTAGACCATTTGGGAGGCCTCTTGGAGCCCTCCTTACCCTATTTTGGAACACCCTCGATTCGGAAACGTGTGCGCGACAGCACGCGGCAGCACGCGGCAGCACGCCAGGAGGCAGGCGGCGCGCCCCGGCAGATCGTGAAGTTTGGGTTCCGCGCCCCTTCGATGCGCATCCGCGCAGGAACGAGGGCAAAGATCTCGCAGCGGCCCGAGGGCACCACTAATTTGGGCTGCGCGCACTTGGCGCGCCGGCAGAGGCAAGGCCACCAGCACGCCTACCTCTTTTCACCCTTTGCCCGAGGGCACCACGGCTCGTGCCTCAGGGCACGGTGGCGGACACACGGCTCGTGCCTCAGGGCACCACGGCTCGTGCCTCAGGGCACCACGGCTCGTGCCTCAGGGCACCACGGCTCGTGCCTCGGGGCACGGCTCGTGCCTCAGGGCACGGTGTGCGCGCCTGCATGTTTCCTGTACGTTGGATCATCGGGTGTGACTGTTGCTTGCCGGGACGTGCAGCAGGTCCTCAGCGGGCGTTCGCCATCGCGTGATGGAGCACACTCGGGACGCTGAAGCAAGAAGCCCTTTCGGTCAGGAAGGGGCTCGGTTTTTGTCGGTTACTGTGCTGCTCTCCTAGTGCTCCTGTAGCCAATCGGCAAACGTTGTGCGAACCAGATGCTTCGTACCTCACCTGATCCTCGTGTCAATAATGCGTCGGCTGCATTTCCGAGGCTGGGATCTATACATATCCACCACGATCGTCCTGAACCGCGGGAAGCGAGATCTCTGGATAGATTCGCCCCCCTGGGCCCCAATGTCAAAGCTATTCTTATCCACCGCCCCTTGGGGTCCCGAGGGCAGTGGATCTGTATGATTTCCAGCCTCGCAGTACGTGTACGGACTCATGTAGAGGGGGGACGGGATTCCATATTGTTAAGACGACGATGAGTGCTCGGTTTGTCCAGCTAGTTGCGGCAAGTTGCTCCAGTTCAGCCCCTGGTCTGGATTAGGGCGCACCTCAAGCGCCCCTCCTTGCCCGCAGCCTCGTTATCCTCCTCCTTGTCCTTCCGCCTCTTTCCACTCCCGAGCCCTTTTACGAATCCTAGGGCCACCTTGGGGTCACCCAACACCCTTCAAAATTTCCGAACCCCCAGAGCATCCTTCTCCTCCCCGCCAGAATGAAGACAAGATAACGAACAACGTCGGCGACGAAGACCACCACTGCGGCAGCGGCGGCGACGGCGCCCTTCCTCGTCCTCCTCGGCTTCCTCCTTTTGCATTGCTCGGACTTCAGGCGGGGGAGCCGTAGCGCCTGCGCGGCGAACCAGAAGTGAATCAGAGCCGCAGTGCAGGCTGCAAGCTGGCAAGGACACGGGAGGGGCAAGGAGCACATGAGGAGCAGCATGCGCCCGCAGAGGGCCTCCCTCACCCCCCCTCCGCGCTGTCCTTTTGGCTCGAGCCGGGCCCCTCGCCCGACCCGGACAGAGATCCCATACTGTATACATCCGTGCGCCACCGAGTGGCTCCCTCGTGGGCCTGCCCCCCGCTGCCGCGCCGCCGCCGCAGGCCCACCGGGGCGACCGACGCGTGGGCGGGGCTCTGCCGGGCGTGGCCAGCGCCTCGCCCAGCGGGGCGCCGCCCGCGGGTCGGCCATATTCCCCCGGCCTGTGCCGTGGCTGCAGCGTTCTGTCGGGCGAGTCCCCCTAAAGGGGAAGCTTCGACGAAGAATAGAAAAGACCCCAAAAATGCCCCCACGTGGTCAACACATGCTCAAGAAATAGTCCCCAGATCATCTTGGGATTATTTTTGGCATATTTTTTCTTTTTCGTCGAAGATCCCCCTGTAGGGGGACAGGCCCGACTTAACTGCAGCGGCAGGGCAGGCCCACGCCGCTCGAGCCCGCCGGAGCACCATGCGGGGCTTCGCCCTGCTCGCGCTGGGCCAGGGCGCCGCCGCCCTGTCCCTGGCGGGGCGCCGCCCGTCCCCCGAGGAGCCGAGGCAGAAGCGGCGTCGCGCGAATCGGGGGTGGGGGGAGGGGGGAGGGCTTCTCTGAGGAGCGCCCCCTGCTTCTAAGAAGCCCTCCCCCCTCCCCCCGCCCCCTCGCGCGCGCCGCCGAGCAGAAGCGGCGACGCGAGCAGCAGCGCTCGAGGGTCCGCGCGGGTCCCCTGGGAGCCCTCCTCCTCCTCCTCCTCCTCCTCCTCCTCCTCCTCCTCCTCCTCCTCCTCCTCCTCCTCCTCCTCCATCCCGAGAAGTGCCCGCGGGCCTCCGACAGCTTCGGTTTCGGGCATGTGCTGTCGGCGTCTCCCCCTTGGCCCCCCGAGGATGCCCTCTCGCTCGTGCAGCTCTCCGCCTCGCTCGGGCCCGCCGAGGAGGAGGCCCTCTCGCTCGCGCACGACCTCGCCGTGATGGCGGCGCGATCGGCCCCGGCTGCCGGGGCGGGCCGCGCGGAGGAGCGAACGCTGCTGGAGCCTGCGAAGGACCGAGGGAGGGAGGAGACGCTCCTCCTCCTCCTCCTCCTCCTCCTCCTCCTCCTCCTCCTCCTCCTCCTCCTCCGGCGCACAGTCAACCCGCACAGCAAGGATGAGCGACTCTGCAAGGTCGCCTTGGCATCCTTCCGCTTCGGCCCATCCTTGGCCGCTTTCCCTGGCCGCGCCCCGCTCGCAAAGTGTCGACATGGCCTCCCAAGGCCCTTGCATCCTTGTCGTGCGTCCTTTTACGGGTTGACTGCAAACGGTAGTTGTATGAGGTGCACACGATCTTGATTGCCCTGGTGCGCCCGTGTTGAAACGAAGCCAGTACTGTACCTTTGAACACGCTGCTCGTGTTGGCGTGCTGGCCTTCGTTGTGCAGAGTGTATCGCACCAGATTCACGTCATATCCACGTCTTCAACCTATGTGTTGATGCGTGTTCCGCATCAGGGCGCGGATTTCAGGGATGCTTCAAGATGGCTCCAACAGAGTCCCAACGAGAGGCCCAGGATCGCGCCAAGACGGCCCCTGGAGGCCCCCCGAAGCGCCCCAAGAGAGAGTCCTGACTGGGCCCAGAGCGGGGCGCACTTTCGGGGCCCCCCCGCGGGCAACCCCCTCTTTCGGACCCTCCCCTTCTTGGGGCGATGGCCTCCAAGCTGGCTCCAAGAGGGCCCCCCCACGGCCTGAAAGAGGGCCCTGGCGGCGCCGCCTCCGACGCGCTCCGCGCGCCGGGGGCGGCGATGCAACCCAGAGATCCGATGTCGTGATTTTTTCAATGCGCGGTCTCCAGAAGTCTCGACCGATTCCCCAGGACCGGTTTTTCATCCTGAGTCGTTTCTGTTGCGGTCCCGAGGCCCGGCGAGGGCATCCAAGGGCCGAAAGTTGTGAAAAACCTCCGTCCTGTTTTTTTCTCAACACGTTGGATCTCTGGGAAGAACTCCGCACGGAGCTTCTGCCGTGTTCGCTGGGGCGGCCTCGCGGCCGGCCCTCCGCCGGCCCGGAAGGGTCGGGGGCGGAAAAGAGGGGGGCGATGACTAGGGGGGGGTGGACATCATGGCGGGGGCCATGATTTTCCCCCAGATTTCGTGGCGCCCCTTCTCATTTCATTGCGTCCCTGGCCCCCCCGCTGGGCCGCGCACATGCCGCCGGTCATGATTTGCACCCCCCCCCCTCTTGGACACCCCCCTCTTGTAGGGCGACGAGATCTATACATATCCACTGCTCCTGGCCAGGCCCATCCTGGGCCCAGGAGCTGTGTATATGCCTCCCTGGCCAGGCCAGGAGGGCGTATACACCGCTCCTGGGCCCAGGATTGGCCTGGCCAGGAGCAGTGGATATGCATAGATCTCGTCGCCCTATCTTGGCTGCTCCCGACAGGGGGAGCGCAGGAGGCCCCGGGGAGGCCGCGGGGAGCCGCGAGGAGCGCCGCGAGAGGCAGGCCGCCGGTGACCCCCCTGCACGGTGCGGAGAGCACCTCCGGACTGGAGCGCCGCCGCCTCCTCCTCCTCCTCCTCCTCCTCCCTCCTCCTCCCTCCTCCTCCTCCTCCTCCTCCTCCTCCTCCTCCTCCTCCTCCTCCTCCCCTGGAGGAGGTCGGGGAGGGCGACGCCGGCGCCGCGAAGCAGCCGTGGCCGATGGAGAACGAGACCGCGGAGCACGTGCTGCCCGGGGCGGCGAAGAGCATGGTGCCCGCGGCGGCGGCGGCGGCTCCCGCCGCGCCCGCGGCGCCCGCCCCGCCGGAGGTCCGGGAGCGGGCGCGGGGAAAGCGGAGGGAAGACACGCGACGATCCTCGACCCAGCTTCGGGTGTTGCTGGGAGGAGGTGGGCAGGCGGGCACACTCAGGCCAGCCACAACCGGGGGAGCTGTGGTCCTTACCCCCCTGGGGGACCCATCGATTTCGACACCCCTCTCGAGAGGGGTGTCGAAATCGATGGGTTCCCCCAGGGGGGTAAGGACCACAGCTCCCCCAGTTGTGGCTGGTCGGACTCTTCACTGCCGCCACCACTACCACCAGCGCCGACCAGGGCGGCTGGCCAGTGGCGGTGCTCTGGCGTGCCAGGCGCTGGCCGCGCCCCGCGAGGCACCGCCGTGGGTCAGCCGCCGTTGGTCCATGGCTCGGGCGCTGCTAGACGTGCCCCTGGCCCTAGGGATCGGTTGAACGATACTCAGGTTGCCTCCGCCTTGTGGTGTAGAGCACCGCGAAACTCGACCCTAACCGCAGGGGGGACAAAAACAAAGAAAAAAAACACGTGCCCCTGGCCCGAGGTGCCCCCAGGATGCGGCCTCCAGAGCCCCCCCTCACGAGGCCCAGAGGGCCCTCGGGGCTCCAGAGTGGGCCGAGGAGGCTGGGGGGCACCTTGGGCGAGTGGCACCTTTCTAGGAGCCCCCGAGTGGCTCGGCCACGCGCAGAGCTGAGTAGGGGGAGGGGGGAAGGCTTCTCGCGGGCCTTGTCTGCAGATGGAGGGCCAGCACCTTCTAAGAAGCAGCCTCCTTCCAAGAAGCCTTCCCCCCTCCCCCTAATTACCCTCCCTCTGCGCGCCGCCAACCAGATGTTGCGGGATGTTGTCGACGCCGATCTTGCTCATGGTCCGAGCTGGCCGTCGCCGTTTCGCGAGGATGATCCGCGAGTTGGCGATGACCATGGCGGGCGATGACCAAGACTGACAACGACGTTTCTGCGCTCAGCCTTGGTCATGGCCCTCGCTTTCTTGCCCTCCAGAGGGGGGGCGTTATCCGGGGGCTGCGGGGGGTATGGGCTCAGGGGGGGACCCCCAATTCGGGCGAAGGGAACTATGCACATGCACCGATCCTGGCAAGGCCCATTCTTGACCCAGGATCGGTGCATATACCTTCCTGGCCAAGGCAGGAGGGCGTGTGCACCGATCCTGGGCTCGGGGTGGGCCTGGCCAGAATCGGTGTATGTGCATACGGCAGGTTCGTGTCGTGTCGACCCCGGCGTTGGTTTTTGACACCGCAGGGATCGCTCAACCTTGAACGATCGGCCATTTCCGCAACGTCCAATCGTTCAACATCGACCGATTCTGGGCCGCCGCCGGCGTTCAACCTTGAACGCCCGCGCTGGGGTCGCCGCTGGTCGACACGACGCAAACCTACCGTAGCTCTCTTTCCTCTACCAGTCGCCCCCGCTCGGGGCCCGACAGCCCATCTCGTCGAGGAGCGTGCGGCCTCGCCGTCGGGGTCCCGCCGCCGAGCCGTCGGCGACGCCTCGCCGCTTTTAGGGTCGCTGCTCCCCGCCCTGCGCCAGCTCCCCCCTGGATCGCTGCCCCTCCAGGAGTGGACGAGCGGGGGCTCGAGGTCCCGGGCTCCAGGGCACCCTCGTCGGCTCTCGCCGGTTTTTCCGGGCATGCGTTCCACCACCTGCGCCTCGCCGGAAGCGCCCTGGGGGTGCCTCCTCCTCCGCCTCCTCCTCCTCCTCCGCCTCCGCCTTCTCATCCTCCTCCTCCTCCTCTTCATCCCTCTCCTCCTCTTCTTCCTCCCTCCTCCCTCCTCCTCCTCCCTCTTCCCTCCCCTCCCTCCCCCCTCCCTCCTCCCTCCTCCCTCCTCCCTCCTCCCCCCCCCTCCCGCCTCCCTCCCCCATCGCCGGAGGCCTGGGGCACGGCCCGAGGGCCGGGCGACGAGGAGCAGCGCAGCCGGGTCGGACGAGAGGGTGGGGGGCAGCGAGGCTAGCTGCGTGCAGCTGGCTTCGGCCCCGCGGCCATGCCTTTGCCTCGCCGCCTCGTCGCCGTCGGCGCCGGGAGGCGCCAGGGCAGGCAGCCGTGCATGCAGCTGCTCCGCTGACCCTTCCCCTGCTGCCCCCAGGGCAGCCAGCTGTGCGTGCAGCTGCTCCGCTGACCCTCCCTCTGTTGCGTCCGGCCCCGAGAGGTGCCCGAGTTCTGCCGGGTGGCCCAGAAGACGGGTTACGTGAACGTGCACGGCAACGAGACGTCCGAGAACGTCCTGCTGGACCTGAGCGTCGCTATGGGCGAGGCTCCGAGCCCCGCCGACGGCGCCATGGCAGACGCCACCATGAAGTTCCTGGTCTCCGTGATGGCCGAGAAGGGCACGTACTCCGCGGAGACGGGCCAGCAGATCATGCCGCTGAGCCAGCCTCTGGAGGACAGCCCGCACCAGATGATCGAGCTGAAGCTGAGCCCCACCACGACGGAGGTGGACGTCTACTCCCCGCACCTGCGCATCCGCACCAGCGACGAGGACTCGTCCGAGGCGCTGCGCCAGGGCATGGGCAGCGGGCGGCTCGGCAGCCTGCCGCGGGTGGTGTGCGGTGCCTCGGCCACCGGCGGCGTGGCCGTGCGCAAGATGGCGGCGAAGGACGCCGCCTCCGAGAAGCGCGTCCTGATCGACCTGGACAGCCTCCTCAGCAGGGGCTTCTTCGCGGTCGCCGACATGGACACCTGGACCCTGGGCCAGGGGCAGTACAGGCGGGTCTCCACCCGCATCAAGGAGCTCAAGGCGTTCCCGAGGAACCTGAACCTCGTCGTCGAGATGATGATGGCGCAGGCAGGCAACAGCCGCCAGGTCCCGGTCACCGTGGCGTTCTCGATCGTGAAGCTGCCTGAGACCCCCATGGTGCCGCGGACTGGCGACAACCGCCTCGGCTATTTCGCCTCCAAGTACTCCGACCTCGGCTTCCACCCGCAGGAGATTAGCCGCTCCACCCCGCCGAGCGCGACCGTGGACTCCCAGCGCACGATGATATGGCGCTACAACCTCGACCGGGACGAGGATCGGTGGTTCAAAGGTGATGCCTTAAGACGAAGCCAGGGCGAGGATAACATCGGATGAGGCTAGATCGATGCTCTCTGAGATCCGGCGGCTCTGGAGGATATCGCGCAGCGCGGCCTTCCCAGAGCGTTCCGGCACGTCCTGAGAGCACCGGAACGCTCTGGAACCTGGCATCGCTCGGACGTGTGCATTTTTCCTTCGGCCAGGGCCATCGAGAAGCATCCTTGATCATTTGGCGAAAAAACCACGCACGAAACCGAAAAAAATACAGGGAATGGACGTCCGAGCGATGGCCAGTGGAACGGATTTGTCCTCACCCTGGCCCCGTCCGAGGCCTCGATGGGGGCCTGAGGACGAGTGGCCTCAAGCAGTGAAGCGTCAGCTCAGAATCCCTTTCCCATCCTCAGGGCCCCAGCCATCAGGGCCCCACTTTTTGTGAGCCACCCAGAGGACAAGCAGATCAAGATCTACGTCGACCCCACCGTGCCGACGAGGTGGCGCAAGTACGTGAAGGAGGGCATCGAGGCCTGGAACGACGGGTTCGCCATGTTCGGCGCGAACGGCACCGTGAAGGCTCTCGGCACGAGGGGGGGCGGGGCGAGGGGGCCGGCCTTCTGAGAAGGCAGAGGGGGCTTCTCGCGTGCTCCCCTGCCCTGCACTCCTCCTCCTCCTCCTCCTCCTCCTCCGTAGCCATTTTGGCTCAAGATGCAGGTTTCCCCAGGGAACCAAGCGGATACCGCTAGTCCGCGGCTGGCAAGACTTCCTGAAGTCTGGCGTCATCTCGGGCCCACCTCACCAGCGCTCAGGTCGGTGGGTAAACGGAGGCCTTTCCCGTTCCTGTCGGCCCGAACGCTTCCAGCTGCGCAGCCATGGGTCCTGCGAGGGATGGTGCGCATGTGGGTGATGGCGGCGCTCCTGGTGCTGCTGGCCGTGCGCCCTCCTCTGGCGGCTCCTCTTCGTCTTCCCGTGAGAAGTCCGGGAGCGGGGAGAGGCGCCGCCGCAGGCGCAGCGGGCGCCAGTCCCGGGACCGCGCCCGAGACGTGGAGGCGGAGCGAGAGGAGGCCAAAAAGGCGGCCCTGGCTGCGCTCAAGGCTGAGGAGGCGGCCTTCCTGGAGGCGGAGGCGGCCTGCCCCACGCTGCCCTCGCAGACGGCGGCGGCCCCGCACGACCCGTGGGCGGCTGCTGCTGCTGGCCTTGGTGCGGCCCCCGCGGGGCACGGCGCGCAGCGGATGCCCCCCTGCACTCCTGTGGGCGGCATGGCCACTCCCGTCCTGGGGGAGGACACCGCTGGGCTGGATGGCGCGCCACCCGAGGCTGCGGCGGCCATCGCCCTCCTGCGGGAATCGCTCTTCGCTGAGGTGCGCTCCAGCCAGGAGCGCCTCTTGCAGAACATGGACAAGAGTCTCGACGGCATCCAGCGCGCTCTTGAGCGCCGCACGGCCCTCCTCGAGAGCAGACAGGGGAAGGTCGAGCGCGTCCAACAGCAGCAAGAGGAGGACATCAGGCGGCTCGAGGACGAGATGCGTAGGAGGCAGAAGGAGACGGACATAATCATGGCGAAGCACACGGCGGAACTGGCGCAGCTTCAACGTGAGCTCGGAGTGGTTGCTGCGGGTGTTCCACCCCCGCCTGAGGCTGGGCCTGTCTGGAGCAGACCGATCGACCGCGCGGTCATGGTCGTCACCTGCAAGGCCCCGCTCATGCGCGCGGCGGTGGAGCGCGCCATGGCACTTGTGTTGGCGGACGCGCAGCTCACAGAGGTCGCGAAGATCGAGGGCGATGACTTGGGCCAGCGCTTCGCGGTCAGGATGGAGGGGGATGTGGGATTGGCCGAGCGTAGGGTGCGCAAGCTGGTGTCCACGCTTCGAGGTGGAGGACCTGGAGGCACCTGGCGTCAGATTGCTGCCTCGACACCGACTGGCCACTCGACGCCGTTGTCCGTCAGTGAGGATAAGAACTCGCGGCAGGTGTCCTACGAGATCACGCTCAAGAAGATGCGGCGGGCGCTCGAGGAGGGTCTCTCGAAGCGCATCTTCGTCGACCCAGTCGGCCCCGACCAGCTGGAGGCAACCCTCTCCATGGCGTGGCAGCCCCTGGTCAGGATTGCGATCGAGGGCCCAGGCTCCCCACCGGTTGTCCAGTGGAACGCTGCTGTCCTGCGCCAGCACCAACTTCCTCGTGAACAGCTGGAGCAGATCGTGGCGCCCATCCTGGCACCGTCGACGGCGGAGCCGTGCCTTTGACAAGGCTGCGGCTCGCTGGGGTCGGCGGCGGAGGGATGGGGGCGCTGCGGAGACTGGGGGAGGACTACGGCGAGACGGAGATGGGGGTGAAGAGGGAGTTGGTGTGGGGCATGGACGTGATGCCCCTGTCGGTCCACGTGCTGCTGCGGCTGACTTCGTGCTCGCCACTGCCGCGTGGAATGCTAGGGCGCTTTGCCACTTCAAGCCTGCTACGGCGAAAGCGAGGGCGAAGTTCCTTGCCAAGTTTTGGACGCGCGACTCGGTCATCTTGGGACTGCAGGAGGTGCATGGCTCGCACATCCGCTTGACTGAGCTGCTCAAACATGTGGGTATTCGAGCCCGAGTATTTCCTCGTTTTGTGAGGGAGAACGTGAAGATACTGGAGGGCTGGCCACTCTGTTCCCTATGCGTAGGGCTGATGATGATGAGAGCGTGGTGTGGGGATCGTCTATACTGGTGCCTGGCAGAGTTATGCGTATCTGTGCCAAGTTCAGTGATGACAGGGGGAGGCCATGCACGCTTACACACTGGAACATTCACAACCATGGTCTGGACTGCGGATTACAACGACGGGTCCAGGCAATGATCTCGGCCGACCTCCTCGAGGCCAAGCTGGGCCCCGTCAAGGCGGCGGTACTTGTGGTGGGTGACTTCAACTTCGGCGACAGGCTGGAGCACTGCCATTTTGGCGATGACGCTCCTCCACGCTCTGTTGCTGCTGCTCGGCACCCGCAGGAGCAGCGTTGGCAGCGCTGCTTGAGTGATGCTGTGGAGATGGTGGCGCCGTGTGCGACCCACTGGCATCCTGGCCTCCAGCTCGAGACTAGGATCGATCGGGTCTTCCTGGGCGCCCCTTCCTGGCTGGTGGTCCAGCGCTACCAGCAGTGTGAGGTACTTGGTGAGCCAGGGACATCAGCGACCACGCGCCTGTCTTGATCACGTGGATGTGGCGCCCCCTGCGTCCTCGCGACCCGCTCAGGCCTGCCCCGATCCCCCGGGACATCGTGAACTCCCCCCATGTTCAAGGGGAAGCTGGCCCAGTATGTGGAGGTGCTGAACCTGTCGATGCGCGCCCCGCCCGACATGCACCAGGTGTGCGTGAGAGCTATGCAGGCGGCCGCGGCCGAGACTCGGGACGCGCAGCTGCAGGGCATGGCGTGGTCGAAGCGGTGCACGGCGCTGATCTTCAGGCAAGTGACAAGGGTGGTGGCGCGCCAACGCGCATCGTTGGCGGAGAAGCTCCTCGTGCGGCACACGTGGCTGGAGGAGCTGATGACTGTGGATGTGGTGAAGGGCGCCGTGGTGCTGAAGAACCATGCGGAGTTCCTCAGACGCTTTGTCCTGGCGCAGCGGCGTGTGGCCAGGGCCAGACGTGCCGAGATCCAGGCGGAGCTTGAAGCTGATGAAGAGCAGCTTCGGGTTTCTGATCGCCGTCGTCTCCTTGGTCAGCGCCGCGCCCTGGAACGTCGTGCCGCTCTTTGGTCGGTCATCCCGCGGCGGCATCTCGCTGCCGTGGAAACACCTGACGGCAGGCTGCTCTCCTCGCCCGCCGAGATCCATGAGGCGCTGGCGAACCACTGGGGCGAGGTCTTCTGCCCCCCTGCACGTGCCGCGTGCCTGGCAGCCGAGGGCATCTCCTCGGAGCGCTGCCGTCGAGAGCGGGGCTCCAAGGTCTTCATCGCGGAGTACGGCATGAAGGAGGTTGACTGGAGCTCCCTGACGCCCCCCTCGGCCATGCACATCGAGGAGGCTCTGCGACTTCTCGGCCTGCTGCACCTGGGGGTGGTGGCCTGCCTGCGCGGGCGTGGCTGATGCACTCGGTGGGCGCTGAGGTGCTCCTTGCGGCCATGAGGTGGATGACCTTGGGCCGCCCCATGCGTAGGGAGTTCAACATGAGCGTCGCCATCTTCCCGCCGAAGAAGGTGCTGGATGGTGATGGTATGGAGGTTATCAGGAAGCCGAATGAGACCCGTCCACTCATGCTGCGCTCCACGGGCCCCAAGGCCATCGCCTCCGCGGTGAACTTCAGGCTGAAGGGCATGATTGACCGTGGCGCATCTAAGGCGCAGCGTGGCTTCATCACGGGGCGGAACTTCCTGGATAACCTGGTGGAGCTGGACGCGATGCCCTGCGTCGCCTCCATGTGCGCGCTGGAGAAGGCTCGTGGCTGGGAGGAGCCGACCCTCCTGAGCTTCGACTTCGCCCATGCCTTCCCGTCGCTCCTCCACGACTGGATGTGGCGGGTTCTGGAGGCGTGGGCGGTGCCGCTCGGCCTGGAGCACCTGCTGAAGGAGTCCTACGCCAACGTCGAGGTCGTGGAGGCGGGGCCCTGCCACTGGGTCCTCTTTGTCATCCTGTGCGGGATCTTGCAGGGGGACCCGCTCTCTGGGGCGATGTTCGTGATCGGCGCGCAGCCGTTCGTGGGGGCGCACTTGCAGCAGCTGGAGGCCAAGGCTCTCGGCATGACCCGCTGGTGTGCTGACGACATCCAGGCCCTAATCTACTGCAGGCGGGGGCTCCGCACCCTGGCGAGGATCTTCCGCCTCGCAGAGCGCCTCGCTGGCCTCCAGCTCCAGCCCACGAAGTGCGCGGCCGCCCCGCTCTGGGCCCCGTTCTCGGCGGAGGAGGACGCGATGAGGAAGTGTCTGGAGGAGGCCTGCGGGTGGGGCTCCTTCACCGTGGCCTCGTCGGTGGGGCTGCTGGGGTGCCTTGTGGGCCCTGGTGCATCGCTGGCGGCCCAGTGGGCTGCGCCACTTGCGCGTCTGCGCGAGAGGGTCCTGGCGCTCGCGGCCTCGCCGCTGGAAATGACGGCTGTCTTCTTTGAGCACAGCCGACGGTGCCAGCCCGTCCTGGCCTACAAGGCGCAGCTCTGGCCGATGCCGTCCGAGCTGATTGATGATGAGCGCTTCCTGCTGTGCCGGCTGGCCAGATGCTCGGGAAGCTTGCTCAAGAAGAACACGTTCTTCGACCTCGAGTCGCTGGGGGGCCCAAGATGTGTGCCAACGTCTGACCTCCTGGCGGCGTCCCTCATGCGCTCGGCCCTCTCGACGCTCGAGACCTGGCGGAGGGCTGCTGCGCACCTGAGTGAGGTGGCCTCGCGCAGGCTGCCGCTGGTGCGGTGCACGACTGGCCAGCCCTGGCCATCCTGGTGGGAGTCGCCCGCCCCTGCCGTCACGCTGGCGCGTGCGGAGGTGGCGGGGCGCGTGCTGCTCGAAAAGAGCGGCGCCCCCCCTCTCCTTTCCTCTAGCCAAGGTGGGGCGGGGCGGTGGGAGGACGGGCGGAGGAGGCGTCTTCAGCGTGAACTTTTAGTGGGCCTGCGGGCCTCCAGGGATGGGGATCTGAGGGGCCTAATTTCGGAGAGGCTCCCCAAATGGTTCGGAGTGCCCCCCCTGGAGGCTGCGGCTGTAGTGTGGCACGACGTGGAGCAGGTCCTGATGCGTGCGCCCCCGAGTTGGAGGTGCGCATGCATCAAGACTTGGCTCGGGGGATGGGTCACTGACACCCGTCTCCAGAATCGGGACCGTAGATGCTGTCTGGGTTGCGATGCCCCAGATAGCTTGAAGCACTATTTCTGGTGTCAACGCTTTCGTGAGCTGGTGCGGGTGGCCCTAGGTCGTCCGTTGCCCAGTGACCCGCTCTCTGCCCTTGCCCTCGTCGTCCCCACGCTGGATTCGACTTGAGGGGTGGCGTTGAGGTTCCACTTGCACCGTCTTCTCCATCTTGAGAAGCGTGAGGGCACCAGCGGAGCGGTTCCTGCCGCGGTCGCCCGCTCGATCGCCAGGGCTGCGCGTCAAGCTGTGGACCTCCCCTCTGGAGGCAATTCGGCCCGAAGGGCCCGTAGGGTGGCTAGGTAAGGAGTTCAGACTTTCCAGAGGACGCTCCGCCTCCTCCTCCTCCTCCTCCTCCTCCTCCTCCTCCTCCTCCTCCTCCTCCTCCTCCAGGCCGCTCGGCTGGGCCCCGCGGTCGATGGGGTCGGAGGATCGCGCCGCGTGGCCAGTGCATCGGCGATCGTCGGCTCGATTCGGGGCCCGACTTTCTCCTGGTGCCGCCGCTGCACTGGCGATGCACCCGGGATGCCGCATGCGGCCCCGTCATCCGACCACACCTATATTCGGGTCCCAGTGGGGCGGCCTCTGTTCCAGCAAGCCTTCGCTCAGACATCCTTTGTAGCAAGCCTTAGGTCGGGCCTGTCCCCCTGCAGGGGGATTTTCGACGAAAAATCAAAAATACCCGAAAGATGCACCAAAAAGACACAAACCACTTAAAAGATAATCCCCGGACTATTCTTGTATTATTTTTTGATTATGTTTTGAATATTTTTCCCCACATGCTTCGTGGGGTTCTGGTTTTCTCCCTTGCAGCGCCGCACCCGCGACACTCACACCTTACTTCTCTCTCCTTCTCACACAGCGCAGCACAGCACAGCACAGCACAGCACAGCACGGCACGACACAGCACAGCACAGCACAGCACAGCACAGCACAGCACAGCACATGCACAGCAGCGTAGGGGTGCGTAGGGGCTGGTCTCTTACCGCGGCCGCTATCCGTGACGGTCGTCCAGGACACAGCAGGCATGGCATATTCTCGACACCATAGGGGGTGCGCAGGGGGTGGTCTCTCACCGCGGCCGCTATCCGTGACGGTCGCCACGGCACAGCATGCATGGCACATTCTCGACACCATAGGGGGTGCGCAGGGGGTGGTCTCTCACCGCGGCCGCTATCCGTGACAGTCGTCCAGGGCGCAGCAGGCATGGCATATTCTCGACAGCGTAGGGGGTGCGCAGGGGGTGGTCTGTTACCGTTACCGCGGCCGCTATCCGTGACGGTCGTCCAGGGCACAGCAGGCATGGCATGTTCTCGACACCGTAGGGGATGCGCAAGGGGTGGTCTCTCACCGCGGCCGCTATCCGTGACAGTCGTCCAGGGCACAGAAGGCATGGCATATTCTCGACACCATAGGGGGTGCGCAGGGGGTGGTCTCTCACCGCGGCCGCTATCCGTGACGGTCGTCCAGGGCACAGCAGGCATGGCATATTCTCGACACCATAGGGGGTGCGCAGGGGGTGGTCTCTCACCGCGGCCGCTATCCGTGACGGTCGTCCAGGGCACAGCAGGCATGGCATAGTCTCGACACCATAAGGGGGTGCGCAGGGGGTGGTCTCTCACCGCGGCCGCTATCCGTGACGGTCGTCCAGGGCACAGCAGGCATGGCATATTCTCGACACCACAGGAGGTGCGCAGGGGGTGGTCTCTCACCGCGGCCTCTACTCGTGACGGTCGTCCAGGGCACAGCAGGCATGGCATATTCTCGACACCATAAGGGGGTGCGCAGGGGGTGGTCTCTCACCGCGGCCGCTATCCGTGACGGTCGTCCAGGGCACAGCGGTATCGGCGGGGCAACGGCCACCAACATCATTCTCACATGCTTCACTTCAGCTCTCATCACTCCAGCCATAATATAAGTATGTGGGGTTCCTCGGTAGCGTATTTATTTGTCGTCGAAAATCCCCCTCTAGGGGGGACAGGCCCGACTTGACACAAACCTTGGATCTGGCCGCATCCCTCGCCCAGCCCGCTCGTGTTCGCCACCAAGACTAGGGGGACGAAGCATGACATAAACATCACAGTTGGGAGGTCCGCGCGGATTTCTCGGATCGGCGCTGGACCCCCCTGGCGGCGCCTACGGCGCCGCCCCTGGCGCGCTCCGCTCGCCAGGGAGGGGAAATCCGCGCGGACCTCCGAGTTTTGGTGTCCATGTCCTTCTCCGTTCCCCTCAAGAGGCCATTGCGCCAGGTGACAAGGACTGGCCGGCGGAGTACGACCAGGGTGACGCGCGCTACACGGTTGTCACTTGGGTGCTGGACACTGACCGGGTGGTCAGCAGGGGCCACGCGCGGGTCGACCCGAGGAGCGAGTACCACGGACGACGAAGATGACGGCGACGATGACGACACGACGACGACGCCGACGACGACAGATGACGTCGACCGACGAGGACGACCGACCGACAACGACGACGTCGACGACCGTTGACGACTATGAGGAACGACCGATCGACGAACGACGGCCGACGAACGACGAACGTTGACGACTGGATGACCGCCCGATTGTCCGACGGCGACGACCGACGACGACGATGCTGGACGACGAGGAGCGGGGAGATCATGAAGAGCGAGATCAGCATGTCCGTCGGGTGGCTGCACGCGTGGCTCTCCGACATGGACCTCCGAGGAGAAAAACACGCCGATGCTGGTGTCCGTCCCTCATTCTCGCTTTGCGGTGGCCTCCCCGGTGGCCCTCGTGGCCACCGCTGGATTCTCCCTCGGAGTCCGGGTCGGAACGCACTGTCCGGGGAGTCGCGGTGTCGTATTTTGCACTCCCAGATCAGGGCCCGTCCCGATCTGATCGGTCCGATTCGAGATCGGATTCGGCCAGCCCCCGATCCGGTCCGATTCCGGCTGTCCGGACGATCCGATGCGGCCCGACGCTTGCATCGCGCTGTCGTGCATCCTGTCACGGCGGATGCGACTCGATTCCGACTCCCTGCCGATGCGGCCCGCTTCGATGCGCGTTCCGATCCGATCCGGGCTCCCGACTCCGTGCTGCCTGAGCCTGCCAGGACCGCCTCGCGCCCCAGCTGGTGCAGAGATCCGACAGCGGCTACCTCCAGGAGCCGAGGGGGGACGGCCCTGGCATCGCTCGGACGTGTGCACTTTTCCTGCGGCGAGGGCCATCGAGAAGCATCCTTGATCATTTGGCGAAAAAAGCCACGCGCGAAACCGACAAAAAAAAAACACAGGGAATGGACGTCCGAGCGATGGCCAGCGGCAGCTGCACAGCTGCAGCGAGGCAGCCGTGCGCGCCCGCACGGGACCCTGGGCGGGGCGACCCCGGGCAGGGAGCCCGGAGGAGGGGGGCGGCCGAGCGCGGCGCTGGAGCAGGGGCCACCTCTTGCGGCTCTGGAGAGGCTCTGGTCCTCGGGCCGCTCCCGCTGATAGGGGGGCCGCGTGCGAACCCTGCCCCTGCCCCCCACGATTTTTCTGTGGGGGAGGGCGGGGTTCGCTCCGCTCGGGAGCTCCCGAGCGAAGCGAGCCCCGCCCTCCCCCTCAGAAAAGTCGTGGGGGGCAGGGGTAATGCGGGATGACGATCAATCAACAAAATGGAGGGGGAACGATTAAAAAAATAGTTTCCTGCTATTTCTGCACAAGCTTCTGACTGGATAAGAACAATTTTTAAACATAGTTTTCCAGCCCGCGGCCGGTTTTTTCTAATCGTCGTCCCTGGCGCCGCCGCGTGAACACGACCCCCGGTCATTTATTAATCGTCATCTTCCATTAGGGTTCGCACGCGGCCCCCATAGCTGGAGCCCACGCGTGACCGACAGGCCCGCCGCGGCCCGCGGCGCCCCCCCGCCGTCCCCCCCCCCGTTCGTGACCGAGAGGCTGCCTTGCGCGGCGGCGCGCTGGCCGCGCACGGGCGGCAACGCGTTCTCCCCCTCCTCCTCACTATCATCCTCCTCCATCCTCCTCCTCTCCTCCCTCCTCCCTCCTCCTCCTCCTTCCTCCTCCTCCTCCTCCTCCTCCTCCTCCTCCTCCTCCTCCCTCCTCCTCTCCTCCTCCTCATCCTCCTCCTCCTCCTCCTCCTCCTCCTCCTCCTCCTCCTCCTCCTCCTCCTCCTCCGTCTCCTCCTCCTCCTCCTCGTCCTCCTCGTCCTCCTCCTCCTCGTCCTCCTCCTCCTCCTCCTCCTCCTCCTCCTCATCGTCCTCCTCCTCGTCCTCATCCTCCTCCTCCTCCTCCTCCGCAGCGTCACGACTGGGTGCGCCGAGCGGCGCTCCCCCCCGGCCAGGAGGAGCGCGAGCCCGCCAGCGCCGAGGGCGCCGCCGCCGCGGCGCAGGAGCTCGCGGCCCCCGCGCCCCGGGCCCAGCGGGTGGCCGACGCGAGGGCGGCGCTCTTCGGCAGCTCGCAGGGCGCGGACAGCAGCCTGGTGCACCTCGTGGCCGGCAGCGACAGCAGGCCCGGTGCGGCGCGACGGCGACGACGGCATGGCTCTCTCGACCGGCCGGCGGCTTTCCCTCGAGCTCGGCCCCCAGGGGGCGGTCTTCGGGCCCTTTGTGGGAGGGAAGGGATGGGAGGGGAGGGAGGGAGGAGGAGGACTTTTGGATTGCACCTCTGATTCAACCGCTGGCTGGTCAGACTGAAAGCGGCACTCGCGACGGGTATTTACTAGGCTAATGCTGGCAAAAACCGAGGGCGCCCAGGTCGGAGGCAGGCATTGCTGCCAGCCGAAGCAGGACAAACAAGGAGGCAGGACAGACAAGGAGGCATTGTCGATGCAGTGTCCGAGGAAGCAGGACAAACAAGTGGCGGCAGAGAGCGCGGGTCCTGTTCTTTGGGTCTTTCCGGAAGCCCCACCCACCGGCGGAACTCGCTCTTTATGGGGAGAAAGACACGGGCAAAGTCACTCTGCAGAACAAAAAGCTGGCGACACAAGATTAGAGAAAGCCCCAGACTCTCCACTCATTCATGGACCGAAAGATCATCCTGTATGTCACCAGCGGGTGAAAGCGAAGATGGACAGAAATGCCAAGCGAAGGCCCCAACCACCACATCACAGCAGCAGACACGGCAGCGGCAAAGGCAGCGGGGAGGGGCGGGAAGGGGGCGGAGCAGCAACAGCAGCGGGGAGAGACACCACACCCACGGGCGGGGAGAGAGCCCCAGCAGAGAAAACCAGGACCCAACATCAAGTGTCTGGACGTGAGCACGGCCCAGCTCCGTCTCGCCAACTCGTTGCGAGCCTGCTCAACTGCGGTGACGGCATGGGAGCATGGGGCGCGCGTGTGATGTACAACATGCAGGGAGGCAAGCAAGACTGACATGGATGGCAGAGAGGACGAAATCTGTACGTGACTGAGAGTGGCCTGCGACAGCGCCAGCGGGGAACAATAGGCGACGGCGCCACAGAGCACTCCAACTGCACATATCTGCCCAACCTCCCAGCAAGGACGACTCCAAAGCTGTCCAACGCCAGTTGCGAGGAGGGGGACAGGAGGAGGATCAAATAATACACCAGAGCCAGAAGCCGCGTCCGCATTCCAGGGGGCCACCTCCAGAAGCTTGCTGTGCACGGGCCTACTGGGCCCTGTTGGCACGTCGTAACCTGGCGGCCTCTCGGTTCGCTGCTGTCCTAGCACGGATCTCATCAGACAGTGGCACTGGGGAGGAAGGGGAAGAAGCATGGCTAGGCCCGAGGAGGAGGAGGAGGAGGAGGAGGAGGAGGAGGAGGAGGAGGAGGAGGGAGGAGGAGGGAGGAGGAGGAGGGAGGAGGAGGGAGGAGGAGGAGGAGATCCCGAGCATCAATCTACTCCTGCTCCTCGTCCGCCTCAAGGGGGCCCAGGGGGGCGAGGGGCGGCCTCGGGATGCTGAAAGACGGGCGGGGGAGGCTGCTCGTCGGCCTGTGGCCTTTCGGGCGGCAAGAACCTACCACGCTCAGGAGGAAAAGAAGCACACAGACACAATCAATCCTCGATTCCCCAGAAGATATGGGAAAATATGGGAAGTGGGGGGGAAGACGAGAACCCCAAAAACATGGACACGTATGGGGAACTATTTCAGCTGTGTGTATTTATGTGTGTGCCCTGGGGCCCCTTTACACGCTCAGGGCCGACTCGTCTGCTACGAGCGGCACGGGCCACGACATCGGGAGCCCCTTCCTCACCGTGGCCCCGATAAAAGGGGTCCCAGGACACAGAAAACCGGAAAAGAGCATCACGGATCTCCGGCCACATCCCCCATGTCTGCAGGCAGCTCGTCGTCTGCACACGGTGCCGCCATCTGTGCAATCGTATCGATCGTATTGTCTGCAACACAACGGCAAAATTCGTGGGGTGCCCCAGATTTCGTAATAAAAGGGAGGGGGTCTCAACCCTCCCAGACGAGAAGTTTTAGACCCCCCCCCCTGGGAGAACCCTCCAAAACATCGTCCTCAGACCCCCCCAGGCCCTCCAAGATAGCCTGGAAGAGACCCCCCCCCGAAATGAGACCCCCTCCCTTTTATTGTGAAATCTGGGGTAGGTCTTTTTCTTAGCGGTTCTCCATTCCCGCCTAGAGCTATCCTATCCCATCAGAGTCTCATGCCCGTTCCTGCAGTGCGGTCATCTCCCTCTCCCTGGCGTGTCAAGCAGGCGCTGGTGGAGCCCAGTAACCCGTAAGGCCACGATCCGTGTGGGGGCCCGAGAGGTCTGCCCGTGTTCGCGCTGATCAATATCTGTGGTTGTCACGGCTGGGGACGACATCAACGCACGCAATGGGTGTGCTGTGAACGACGAGACAGCTTGCAACCTCCAATGGCATGGCTGCGGGTGCTCCATCCAACATGACGTGCCGCCGACGGCAAGGTGTGCAGCGAACAGTAAAAGCATAGCGCCCAACAACGCACTACCTACGTATACCTGCTCCATTTGCTTCGGCGTCAACGCTAGCATGCCCCAATATTCGTCATGCGAACGCAGGGGTGGTGGCCCGGAGCCCTCTGCCCATCGCACCGCGGACCAGGTCTCACAAGTTGGGCCCCCGCCTGTCATGACAACTCGCCCTGCCGACACATGGTCCCTCCACATCGTCAGTGTCTTGTTATTCATCATATCACCGAAGGTAGCATGTATCGCGATATCGATCGACAATACGATCACGGCATAGTCCGGTAAGTAGTGAGACCACTCTACCTGTGATTGTATGTCCCCACCCCTACGGCGCCCACAATACAGATTTAGCACGAAATATTCCCGACGACAGATGGTGGCAGGCACCGATTCAGCCGCAATACCGGTGCAACGTTCAGTCAAGAACGTTCTGGCAGGGTACCTCTCAGGAATTGGAACATAGTCCAGCGCTGGCACGGCGTTTGGTGCTGGTGGGGGAGCTGGGATAAACTCGGCGTCGGGGTCGGTGGCAGCCAGCTGCTCCCGAGCCTCCTGTTGTGTCATGGTCGCCATAATCCGTTCAGCACTAGGTACAAGGGGTCCGTGAGCCCTCCTAGTCGGCACAATGACATGTCTACGTGACAGCTGGACGCCTGTGCTTGTCGTACCATCTGTAGTACCGAAGAGGGGGTAGTCGATATGAAAGGCTGGATTATGCCTGGTCGTAAGTAAGACGTACAAACACTGAGGTGAATCCGAGGCCAAGTGGTCGACGAAATGCATCCTGTTACGAAAGACTATCAAACACGAACGGCATTGCCCATCCGGGCTCGCATATGCTCTGGCCAGGTCCGACTGTCGCCGATGGACCCTCGTGACATGTGTGCGAAAGGAAGCGTACGACAGGAAATCACGCGCGCACCAAGGACACCTTGTGTGCACAGCAGCGGGTTGTGCCTGTGGTGGGTCAGCGGGCATTCCTCGATCGTGCGCGACCTCGAAGAACTCACGCTCCATTTGTGCAGCCAGTGTGTTGCGCATATCATACTGTGCCTGCGCATGCATGGCTTGACGTAAAATGCGATTCCAAGCTGGCGTGCTGCGTCGCGCTAGCGCATCCCACTGACTGAACTCCTGGCGAGGCGGCGGCAGAGAGGCGCAAGAATGGCTGGCAGCACGCAGCCAATCGAGATCGTCCAGCACGAGCCCGAGCCACGTCCGAGCCTGCGCGGCGGGATGGGCCGCGGAGGACCATTCTGCGCGTAGCAGTGCAAAGGCAAGTCGTGGACCCGTGGCCAGTAGGGAGCCGTAGAGTCGGAGCCTGGTATTCCCAAGCAGAGTCGTAGGGGACGGACGTTGTAGTCGGGCCAGGACCACTTTATCTGAAATGCACTACTCGTTTTCGACATATCGTACTCGTGCTGCTGCTCGTTAGACCTTCATCGCATCTGTGTATGCTAATGCATTTCCCCTGCAGTCAATGCAGTCCAAGCCCCAGCGTTGTATAACCTGCCTGGCATAACTAAGCTGTCGGCAAACAGCATCCGCGTTGCTTCTGGTAGCGCATCGGTTGCGAACACTCGTCGACGCAAGGTCTGCCACGAGCCGACTGTCGTGGTCGATCGGTGCCGAATCTCTGATCCCATAACACCTCCTTGATCGATGACTGAGCCTAGATGCACATAATCATGAACGACGGGGACGACCAAATCTCCCAGAAGGCTGGACTTGGCTCGAAGGAAACCTCCATGCTGGTGCCAGATGGTAAACTTGGCCCTCTTGGTGCCGGGGCCTCTCAAGGAGATGATAGCAGCAGTCTTAGTGTGTCCAACGTTCAGTAGGTGTTCACGTTTGACAAAAACGTCATTGACCACCACTAATACCCGGCAAAGGCCGTCACAAATCACATCCGCCGCCATAATCAGCATAATGGGGCCGTCGTCTGCAAATGCCACATCCACTGATGGCTCAGTTGCTGTCGTTGCTGTCTCATCAAAAGACTGGCAATACCACGGCTGTCGCCACAAAGTATTTTGTGCACCAAGCCGTCTGCTGTCAAACGCGCACGCACATCCTCCACACAGTCCCCCATGAGCATTTCGTAGAGGATGCCAGCCAGAGGTTGGCCATTGATACTTGGCCCGATCCCTCATACACGAACCACGGCGCATGGTAACATCGCTCGACCTGCCTGACCACATGCGCATCAGCCTGCGTACGAGACAATCGTGCACCATGTTCCTGCAATCTGGTAGCAAGTTCGTGGATCGCGGCTGGTGGCAACCCTGCTGCGCGCACAATGCAGGCAACAGAGAGGTCGTCGAGCTGTGAGCGGAGCAGCAATTCCCGTAGACTGCGATAGAACGCCTGCACCACATCCATAAAAAGGGCTCCAAACGCCTGGTTGCTGCGTCGGGCATAGCTCTGGGCAAGTCGTACCAACAGTGACGCATGCGCCGTGCCCCTTCCTGGAATCCCTCCGAACTGGGTGGGTCCTGCAAGCTCAATCAATTGTGGCATCAACTGCTGTCGGAGGCAACGACGCGACGCCTTGCCTAGCTGGGAGGATACCAGAATGGATCTGGAGCTCGAACAGTTTTTCGGATCAGCAGTAGCCGACTTCAGGAGATCACGATAAAAGCCCCCTTTCCACTGCAGGGGCTCCACTAGGGTAACTGAGGACTTCAATTGTAGTGGATAAAACAAAGTGGTGATATCGGTGGCAAAACTGCGTACAAGACTCCCCGTGATCCCATCACATCCCGAGGCGGCCCGACGGGCCTGGCGACACGAGAGTTGGTATTCCGAGAGCGACGCTATGGCACCAATCGGCAGGATAGCATCCCTAGACATGCCCGCATATGGGATACGCTCGAGATACTCGTGGTAATCATTGGCATCAGCGGCAGCAATAGTGGCCGCTAGCTCCATGTGTCCGACGCATTGTTGCCAGCGTTTTTCCGCATCGAGACCTGACGTCACAGGATGTCCCTGTGAGTCGTTCAACTTGGGCAACCCACGAACCATGCGCTTGCTTTTCGACACTGCCCCGACGCTGCGCAGTGCCGCAAACGCCTCCGCCGACTGGCGCCTGTCCCAAGAGTCCCGGATCCCTCGAACGATAGCGTCACAATGGGCTGCCGAATCCAGGGACGTCGACTTCTGAATCGTGTGCGACGGGGCTCGTAAGAAAACATACGTAAACGCCCACCAAAAAACTTGCCAGAGCCAGAACCATCTGAAAACATGTTGCAGTCGACAGTGGTCAGTATCCTGGCTCGCATCCCTGGGGTCCAGATCCGACGGTCGAACCCTCGACACCGGTAAAGTTTACCGGTTCGCGACTTGTGTCGTTTAAAACGACACAAGTCGCGAAGGTGTGTGAGATGCTCTTTCGTAAACTTACCAGCCTCGAACGTATCGCTATCCCTCCTATTCCTAAGATTGACACGCCAAAAGGCGATGACAATCTTAGGGATTCGCCTTCAAAAAATAAGGGAATCCCTAAGATTGGCATCGTGATGAGGAGGTGCCCAGCATGGGGATAGGGATATGTTCCAGGCTGGTAATAAACGGTGGCACGCACGCGCGGCCTCCGGAATCCTGCACTGGTGCGGCACAGAAGCTGGCAACCTCCATAACTGGCGCACTGGCATCCGCCACCGCTGTTACACAGTCACTGAGAAGGGAGTGGGAGGGCCCATCCCGATACGAGAAGCGATGTCGGCACACGCGCAAGCAAGACCACTCCCCTTCCTCCTTCCCATCCGAAGCCCAGGCTACAAACACAATCGCAAGCCGCATCCGATCCGATCGTCGTCGCAGTCGGCGCAAGTCGGCACGTCCAGTGGAGCGACGGTCCATCAGCGCAAGCGAATGGGACGACAGCCAATCCTGCCTTGCCTCTCTGCCAGATGGCGACCGCTGAGGAGGGAAGCACTCTCTGACGGCCTCTGAGAGGGCAGCATTCAGGATTTCAGCGTGGTCGTCGGGATGCACGCTGAAGTCAGGCTGTGGGATTTCACGGAGGGCCTGTCGGAACTTGGCAGCACACCCTGGGTCCTCGAGCTTATTGGGACTGTGAGCAACCTTCGGCCATCGAGCAACCTGCACAGTGTGATCGGGTTGGCTGAGCAGAACCTCGGCCATCACAACAAAGTGGTCGTCTGAACGCAAAGACGGGTCAACTGTAGGGTCCACGCCTTGCCTGCCCACTGACGCTATGGAATCAATGGGAACTGTGACGTAGTCAATCCTGTGCCGAGGGTCCTGAGGCGCAGCCCCTCCGGGCAGCCAAGTCCCATGGATCCCAGAAGTCGGTTCTGAAAACGTCGCCACGGCAGCCTGCCCTGTTCTGTCGAGAAGCTAGTGAAAGTATCGTCCTGGCATGTTTTCGGTTTCAGCCCCGAAAGGGCCGACCGAGGCTGATAGCCGTGATCCTAGAGCCCCATTCGCATCGACATGGCAATGTAGAGGGGCAGGGTTAGGTCGCGAAAGGACCACACGCTCCAGCTGCTTCCACCATGCCTCCACCTCTGCCTGTGGCCTCCGAGAGCGCGGCGAATGTGCAACGAGGACATCGATGCTCATGCCAGGAGCCCGGATAGCAGCTAACATATACCTGGACGAATGCGCACACACGCACATGTTGTCGCGCGAGTACCCGTCCTGGAGCATACTGCAGACGTGTATTAATCCAGAGCGCCACGCCACACTGCCTGGAAGGTTCGGCCGCCGAAGTCAGGACATGATAGTCGGAAGCGGAACGCCACGTGCTGTGCCTAAGTCGAGTCTCCAAAGTGCCCACCAGCAAGTACTGTTGTCGTGAGAACTGATGTGCAAGCGCCAACATACGCCCTGGTACGTCAATCCCTGCTGCATCCTGATACCTACACCTGATGCGGGTGCCGCCTCCTTTACCCTTTGTCCTGCGGGGTCGCAAGGTGAGCACATTAGCAACCGCAATCTGCTGACGACCCATGCTGGGCAACGTGTCGGTAGCAGGGTCGGTCCCATCACTCGAGCCGCGTCCAGCATGTGGCGGCGAGAAGACCGCGGCAGGGGACAAACGAGGAGGGGACAGACATGGCAGTTGAGCTGGTGCGGTTGGGGGCAACTTCCCAGCACCGCGATTGGAAAGCTCGGAGGCCCAAAGCCACGGTACCAACTCCAGCTCTGTCACCAGGAAGATCCTCCACGGCAACTCTGCAAGCTGCACAGGGGGCGCCAGCCCCATGGACGATAACCTTGTCAGTGTATCTGCTAACTCATTCAAGGGGTCTCCAGCATGCCCTGAGACGTGGACCCAAGACAGATCAACAGAATTCCGAAGCCACTTAGTCAAGCCGTCCGACAAATCAGGGAGCACACCACACGATGTGTATTTCACGCCACCTGACACGGCCTCCACCACCATACTATTATCAGTGTGCACCCTCCAAGGGGCGGTAGGATAATGATGAGGGGCCTGAGCTAACCAGAGAACGAACCACAGTGCCGCATACAACTCCGACGGACCTGAAGCACTTACATAATCATCGCTGCGAGAGGGTGCCGGGGACGCCAGATACCCTTCAGCACGATACTTGTCCTCACATGTCACACCGCACACCACAAACGCCCACGACGGCGGGCCTTCCAATGGGCCAATACCAGATCCTCCGGGGCCGTCCGTGAACACATCGTACCGGATGAGATCACAATCAGGAATGGGGGGGCCGGACCTGTGATGCAACACAAATTGCTGTGTGGCCGAGTGCAGGTAGGGGGAGAAATAGCAAGCATCAGGAGGCTGCGCTGTGCCGTAAAAGAGAGAGGTGAGAGAGGCGTCTGGCCAAGCAATGTTGAGGCCAGATGGCACATGAGAGCAGTCGGGAACGGGGCTGGGCGGCGTGCGGCCTGGGCAAAATGCAGCGGCCACGCCCAGCTGGGAGGCGCCTGGCCCTACTGCCGGCGACGCCTCCCTCAGCCTGCTCACCCCAGCGTCGGCGTCGGCACCGCATCGTCAGGAGCCGCAGCGGCCCCAGGTCGCCCGCGCCCTTCACTCGGATCCTCGCGAGGGGTGTCGCCATCGTCGATGCGGACGGGCGTCGGCTCGAGGAGGAGGAGGAGGAGGAGGAGGAGGAGGAGGAGGAGGAGGAGGAGGAGGAGGAGGAAGAAGAGGAGGAGGAGGAGGAGGAGGAGGGCGTCTCCGCCCGCGCGGGCTGGGGCGGCGGCCGCGAGACCGCGGCGGGAGCGCGGCGGGGCGGGCCTGCCTTCTGGAGATGGCCGGTCCTCTCCTGGCACCACCCGCGCGCTGACTTGCGTGCCAGGCACAACGCGGGGCGCACCACTCCCGCCGCGCCCGCCGCGGCGCCGCTGGCTGAGGAGGAGGGAGGAGGGAGGTAGGAAGGGAGGTAGGGAGGGAGGCAGGGAGGGAGGTAGGGAGGGAGGAGGGAGATGAGGAGGGAGGCAGATGAGGAGGGCGGGAGATGAGGTGGGAGGGGGAAGGTGGGTGGGGGGAGGCGGGGGGGAAGGCCTCTCAGGAGCACCCCGGCTTCTCGGAAGGCGCGGGCCTTGTCTGCAGGTGTGGGGCCCCCGCCTTCTAGGGTTGTAGGGGAGCAGGCTCCTCCTAAGAAGAAGCCTTCCCCCCTCCCCCCCACCCCCCCTCTGCGCGCCGTCAAGCGGGGCCCCCCCGCGGTGCCCCTGGGGGAGGGGTCGGGACTTGGGGCCGTTGACGAGCAGTTCGGATCGGCGGAGGTCCAGGTGCCAGGGCCCACTTCGATCGCATCGTTCCCGCTCGATGTCGACTCGGGCTGGCCCGATCCGACTCCGGCGCTCCGACGATCCGATTCGATGGTGGTTGCGATCGGGGGTTGCCGAGGGTGCCCCTGGCCCAAGGTGCCCCCAGCTCCTGATTCGCCCCACTGGAGCCCCTGGTGCCCTCTGGGCCTCGCGAGGGGGTCCTCTGCAGGCCGCTGGGGCCTCCGTGGAAATCCGAGGGGCCCCGTGGGCCAGGGGCACGTCTGGCAACATCCGATCCGGCGGCTCGGGAACAGGGGCCAGCGCCCATTCCGACATCCGATGCCGACTCTGACGGGCCCGCTCTGATCGGTTCCGTTGCTCCAGCGATCCTCCGATGCGGCCCGATGTCCGCGAGGCGCTGCCGCGCGTCCTGGCGCGGCCGATCCTGGCTCGGCTTCGGCCCCGCGCCGATGCGCCGATCGGCCCGAGATCCGATGTGCGCACGGACCGACCCTGCCGCGGCAGGCTGGGCCTCTTCCACAAGGGCCAGCCGATGAGCCCGCGCAGGCAGGAGCCCCGGGCGGGGGTCTTTGCGGCGACGGGCGCGCGCGACGCACGGGCCTCCTGCCGGACCTCCGCGGGCGCCGTCCGCACTCCGCCGGGCGCCCCCCTGGGGGCGGCCGGTGCCACACCCGCGGGGCGTCGGCGGAGAGGCCGTCCCGTGGGCGTCGGCGCGTTCTCCACCCCGAGCCTCGGGGGCAGCGGCAAGGGGGGGTGGGGGGGGGGGGGGGGGGGGGGGGCGTTGCCGGATGTTTTTTCGTCGGCTCCTGGGGGTTCTCCCGGCCTCGGGCTGCGTATGGCAGCATCCGAGGCTCGCCGAGAGGCGTTTGGGGGGTGGCAGGGTCGTGCCGGCTGGCCGCCGCGGGCCCGAGCTGCGGCCCGAGAGCCAGGCGGCGAGGATCACTGGGAGGGCTGGCCTCAGGGGGCGGAGCATCGACCCCAGATCGCCCACTCATCGCCGACCGGGACCTGGGAGGAGGAGGACGAGGAGGAGGAGGAGGAGCGGGAGGAGGCGGAGGAGGAGGAGGAGGAGGAGGAGGTGCAGGAGGAGGTCTAGGAGGAGGAGGAGGAGGAGGAGGAGGAGGAGGGGGAGGAGGAGGAGGAGGAGGATGAGAAGGAAGAGAAGGAGGAGGACGAGGATGAGGAGGATGAGGCGCAGGAGGAGGAGCAGGAGCAGGCGGAGGGGGAAGAGGAGACCCCCTACCCCGCCCAGGGGCGTGCGGTTTCGCTGTCGGAGACGTGCCGCCGATTCCAGGTCGCCCCTCTCGCCCCTGAGCCCGTCCCGCCTTCATGCGTCCGCATGGAGCAATGCACTCAGGGCCTTGTGATGTTCTTGAGGGGTATCGTTACTCTGTGATGCGGTGTCGTCGTATTTTGCCAGAGGGTGTGGTCCCCTGCTTGCTTGGTCGGTTGCCATTTTCTGGTCGTTGGCCTCAGGGTCTCGGGCCCCCTTTGCTTTGTTGGTGTCGATGTTTCGCTTGTCGGCCTCAGGTTCTCGGGTCCCGCTTGCGCTGTTGATCGCGATTGTTTTGCTGGTGGTTCTAGGGTCACGGGTCCCACATGAGCTGTTGGTTGTGATTTTCCAGCCGCCGCCTGCTATAGGGTCTCGGGACCCGTTTGTTTTGTTGGTTGCGTCTTCCTGGTCGGAGTTGGGTCCCGCCTGCATTGTTGCACGCGCGATGTTCTGCTCGCCGTTCATAGGATCCCAGGCCCCGCGTGCACTGTTGGTTACGATGTCTGATCGGCACCCCAGGTCCCGCTAGCCTCGTGGGCTGCGATCTCTCGGTGGCTCGCCGCCCACGGGGTCTCGGGCCCGGCCTGCACTGGTTGAGGCGGACTCTTCATCGTCGCCCGTCGAATCTCGAGTCCCCCTTGCACTCTTTGTCGCGACCTCCTGATCGCCGCCCACAGGATCCCGATCCCTTTTGCAATGCAATCTTTCCCTTGGCCTCCGAAGGAGGAGGTGCTCGGCGAGGGCATCAAGCAGGTCGTCATGCACGAGACGGGGCACATCCTGGGCCTGCGCCACAATTTCAAGGGCAGCCTTGGGGTGAGCTACGAGTGCACACAGGACAAGGCGTGCAGCGGCAAGCACGGCCTGTCCTCCAGCGTGATGGACTACCTCCCCATCAACCTCCCCGAGAACGACGACCCTGACAGCGTGCACTTCTTCTCCCCGGTCATAGGCGAGTACGACAAGCTTGCCATCGCCTATGGTTACATGCCGGACTCGAACGACATGACTAGGCTTGACGACCCAGACAACGTCCTTCGCAAGAAGGAGGGCCTCACCTTGCAGAGTCTCCTGAACAAGGCAGAGTCCTTCGAGGTGTGCTTGGACAGCGATTCCAGCCAGGGGGAGGACCCAGAGTGCAGACCGTACGACTTCACCTCGGACCCGATCCGGTATTTCGAGGCGACGCTCCGCAAGCACAAGAGCACGCACCAGCATCTCCTGGACACCGCGGTTGCTCCTGGGAAGGCCTACTTCCACTACGGCAACGCGGTGACTTCCCTGATGGGATTGACGCGCGACATGGGCCTCAAGGCGGCGCGCTACATCGGTGGCAGCAACCACTCCTACCAGCACCGCTCGGACGGCGGCCGGCACGGGCCGAACGGCGCCCTGCGCTTCCAGTCCGCCCACACGCAGCGGCGCGCGCTGAACCTGACGAAGCAGGTGCTGCAGCTCTCGAGCTCGGGCCTCGTTCCGCCACGGAGCAGCCGAAAGTTCCTGGTGTCTGGGCAGGACGACCATCTCCAGGTCTTCAACGTGGACCACGCCGTTCGCAGCATCCAGAAGGAGTTGATGGGGGAGCTGCTGTCGCCCAAGAAGCTCGAGAGGCTCTTCGACCACTCGGGCGATTGTGAGGGAGAGGACTGCCCGCTGGGCGTGGAGGAGCTGCTGTCCGACCTGGTGCGCCTGTTCGGCGTCCCGCGCAGCGCAGACTCGCCAGACTGGGACCTCGAGCTCCAGGTGGTCAAGAGCCTCAAGGAGGCGGGAGCGGTGGCGCTGCCTGCGGAGGTTGGGGAACCACCAAGAGTTAGCCACAAAGAGTTAGAGTAGTGGATCGACTACAGAACTGATTTCCCCAGAATTGATCTTCGCGTCGAATCTGCGACCCATGCGTAGAATGTTCTGTCGTCGACCCCCTGATGGAAGAGTGCCCTGCGCGAGCTTTCGGACGTCCGCGCACGGTGCCTCCGCCAGCGCTGGACCCCCTCCACCCGCACCCCTGGGCGGCGCCTTCGACGCCAGCCCCGGGCGCCCTCCCGGCAGGGGGTCCGGCGCCGGCGGAGGGACCGTGCGCGGACGTCCGAGAGGGTCCCCTGCTCGTGCGCGTCTTCTCGGGGGCTCCTGGGAGGTGCAGTCGCTGGTCTCGCAGAAGCTGGACTACATCGGTGCCAGCGTCGAGGCGGCGCCGCCGCCGCCATCGGAGCCGCCGCCGCCACCGTCGCCATCACAGCCGCCGCCACTGCCGCCGCCAGCGGAGCCGCCGGCGCCTTCGCGGTCGCCGTCGCGGTCGATCGTCGTCGTCGTCGCAGCTCGTCGTCGCTCTCGTCGTCGTCGTCGTCGCTCGTCTTCGTCGTCGTCGTCGTCGTCGTCGTCGAGGCCCTCCTGGAGCACGGGGACAGCATGCACACCTGGGCACCGAGTGGCTGGCAGCAGTGCGCCTGGGAGGGCGAGAGCTGCGAGTGCCACGGGCAGGCGCGGCGCGCCGTCTGAGTCGCCGCCGTCGGAGCTGCCACCGCCATTGCCGTCGTCGCCGCCGTCGTCGTCCTCGTCGCCGCTGTCGCTCGTCGCCGCTGTCGCTCGTCGTCGCTGCCGCTCGTCGTCGTTTGTCTTTGCTCGTCGTCGCTCGTCATCACCCTTCGTCCCCCGTTGTCCCCCGCTGACGCTCGTCGTCGTCGTCGTCGTCGTCGCTCGTCGTCGTCGCTCGTCGTCATTGTCGACTCCGCAGCCGCCGCCGCTGGAAGATCGAGGCTTGAGGATCGAGGTTCGTGGTGCGGTGGATGTTTTTGGTCCGTTTTGAAACTCTGGGAGGCCGCCTCCTGAGACCTGCGGAGACATCCGGAGACCTCGGACAATCGTCGTCATCGCCGCCTCGTCGTCGTCGTCGCCAGCGTCGTCGTCGTCGTAAGCGCCGCTTTCGTCGTCGCCACTACCGTCGTCGTTGTTGTCTCGCGGCCGCTGCCGCAGGTGCGATTCGGCGTCAACGGGAGCTGGTCCGAGCTTCGCCATGCGGGCGGCCAGACGGACTGCAGCACCCAGGCCTTCGAGGACCCCCATGCTTATCCTCGTTTTCTTGGTGTCATAGGTTGCGGCTTCTCACCCTTCACC